TTCCCTAGACCTGCATAACTGCTCGCACATAATAAAGATGTCTTAAATATTATAACTGTATTTTTGATACTTTTAGCCTACGTTATGCAACTTAAAACTTCTTTTGTCAGGAATATTTTCAGGCACTCGTCCCACTGAACCAAGTTCCGTTGTAATCGGATTTAATGGTATAGGAAGGCATTGGTAGAGCCACACTGCAGCTATATTCTAGTTGTAGCACGAATAGGTTGGCTCGAACGGGCTAGGACCACACTGTCACGGACGGAATGCCCCATTTATAGTTGTAAGGGTCTCCGGGTCTCTACATTCACCATACAAAACACAACGTATTAAGTTGCTATTTTAAGTTGGTATTTCACAGAATACTTGCGTAAAATATGATAATATGAAAATAATATTAACACAACGCCCATTTCTAAGGCTTCTTGTTTTAATGAAGCTTGTGGGTGGGACAGCTTGACAAACAAGATTGACCAGTTTGCTCAGCGAACTTGTGAGTCTCGAAACCCGAACAAGTCTTGGGAGATATAGACAACGTACTGAAGGTTAGAAGGGGCAAATTGCGAACAGTTTGTATTGCGAAACAATAACTTGCAAATAAGGCTCTCAAGGACTAAAGCTGACGGAATATTTGGGATTCCTACGTTTATAGGAATTGTTTCTCTTGTTGTTCGCTTGGAGCAAAATTATTAATGAAGTTTTATCCAAGACACGTATAACATTTAGATTTAGAGAACTTTATGATTGTTTTAGGTTACAATGAAACTAAAATAACGAATTTTCTTTTATTACAAATCTATATTGTAACAACAATTGATACATTATTTGTATAATTTTATTTTCGAACCAATGTGGTAATTAAAACTATTTAAAACCAGCGATTTGCCCCGGCTTTGCACGGGTGATTTCTCGATCTCGACAACAGCGCCACCTACCGAGTCCAACTATGATTAACTGTGATAAACTCAAACGCACACGAATATTCATCTAATTCCTTCCAGTTGGTTTCGAGTTTTAGCGAGACTAAGGGTTGTATTTTTTTTATAGAAGAGGGGGCAAACGAGCATGCGGCTCACCTGATGTTAAGTGACTACCGTCGCCGTATATAGAGATTATAAAAACAACAGCTAGTCCTTCTGGTATTTTGTTGAAAGAAATTAAACTTTGTACTTAAAAAGTAATTTTTTAAATATTTATTTCATTTATATCCCGGTTTGTCTCCCTATATGAGGTTAGTTTAAGTCATAGTAATAATAGGTTATCATGTAGCGGCATCGTAGGACAATCCGCAACAACAAATCATCCCGTGGGTGTTTTAAGACACCGCAGAGGGAAACCGAAACATGAGATAGGTAGCAGTATCTTACTGATAAAAACTTAATAATAAAACACTGTGTTTGTCAACACGCCTGCTATGCTGGCTTTCACGGCAATTTAGGAGAGACGTATGTTCCAAAATGATCCTGGCCGTAATGAATAAAAATTTAATAGAGGAATATATTTATATTTTCATATTATTATAAACTCTTATTAGTGATAGTATTCAATGCAATATTTTATAATATTAAACAATGAATATTTTACACGATTAAATTCGATGAAAAAATATTACAACAAGACATCAAGAACATACTTTGCGTAGATCACAGCAATAAGTCCTGTATGACGCTTATGTGTATAATTGTTAATTTAAAATAATAATACGTAAAATATTAAATAATAATAAAATAGTGTGAAAATTATTATAAAAACATTGTGCATTATATTGTTGTGTTCCATTTCTACAATTTGGACTTGAATAGTAATATTTTCAGACTGCCCTTTTTGGAACTCTTCGTTAATGATTTTATCTAGATCTTGGAGAGCGTGGGTGGTTGTTTTTTAAATACGACATATAAAGATTAAACAGTGATATACATTGCACTTTTCGAGCAACAATCAATTAAAAAATATCGCGTGCTGACTCGCGAATACAGAGATTGTGAGGCTTTTATTCGTTACGAAGATTTCTATATTCAAAACTAAAACATTACCAAAAACTGACTGAGGTCTAACACTAATGTTAGACATGCGATAAGTCAAATACTCAAACCATAGTATAGCGTCGTAGTACATACCGCGATAGTTATAAATTTCGTCGAAACCTCATCTAACTTTCTTAGGGTCGTGTCGATTATTCATTCCAGCGGAAAAGGGCAAAGTGATGACATGTGACAGCTTCAGATGATCGATGTCACTGTGGTCAAAGATGGTTTTGAAGATAAATTTCATGTATAATAACGGCGTGAGTATAGGAACTGAGTGATTAGCGTTTAGCAAGGCGCGGAGTTCGCCGTGCATGACAAGCACACGCTCTTTTACTACTGTGTGTGTGTGTGTGTGTGTGTGTTGTCTATGTCGATCATTAACCGCCCAAAATGTGTTCCAAACGCATCACTATACTATGCTAAAAGCTCTCTTTTACTTAGGATAACATTAATATCAAGCCCCAATACACATTTGAATAGTTTCTATACTGAGTCATCAAAAATACGAAATTCAGTGAATAAGACCGGTAGAATAAGCAGTATTTCAATAACTAATCCAAGATTTTTAAGATAATGAAACTTTGTATATAACGAGTCAATCAATCAATCAATTTGATTGATATGTTATAAGGTGTTTTACGGGGAAAAACCAGTGGCGCTACGATCCACAATTTAGTGTAAATTATAAAACGTAATTTAATTATACACAAGCAAATATGACGTTCCTTTTTTATGGCCGCGAGCCCTGAGTCACACGAAGCTGTAAGAGTCACGTAACTAACGGATCGGATGAGTGGTATAGGATAGCTTTGGTAGAGCCACCATTCACCTATTAGGTTGTGGTACGAATGGGTCGGCTCGTCTGGGGTCCCGTTCTCTACACCTACCATTCAAAACATAACGTATTAAGCTGCTATATCAAGTTGGTATTTCGCAGAATACTTGCGTAAAATATCACCATTATACTGCTGACTGTATGTTTTTACAAACTTTTTTTCTAGTAACAGGGTATTCCATCTTCGTCCTCGGAGCTAAGAACGCATTTGAATTTTGATTATAACGACTTTGAGCCACAGCATCCTGTAACGACAGATATGCAGTGTGCTCGATTTTCACTCTTCTTCTGTATATAACGAATACGACTATTGACGAGTATATATACCTCTGAGCTCCAATTACACAAAGCATAAATATTTTGTGTTAGGGTCGGCTTGTGGTTGTTCGTTCGCACTACATGGCATTCTACCTTCCTCATATTAGCGTTCGGGAGCGAGTGGGTGAGGATGAATTAATGCCTCTGTATTTACATGTACACTTGTGGATTAGACTTAATAACGCCCGTATAGTTAACAAATTATTTTCGTGACGTTGAGAAATTTGCCCGCAGTCAAAATCAGCTATACATATAGCATTCGCCTCATATCGTCATAGCTAGCTAAGAATTTTTATAAAAGTAGAGTCCCTATCACGAGATCGTAGTTTGTAACATTACGTTCCCATAAGGGCGATAAGTACACATTAACACTAAATTCCAGTTGTCGTATCTAGGATTTTATACAACTCTCTCTCTCTCTCTCTCTCTCTCTATATATATATATATATATATATATATATATATATTTATATATGTGTGTAAAACATTTAAAAATTATTATCCGAGTGATGAGCAACCCGTAGACCACAACCCCATATCTTTCCGTATCGAGTATGTCGACACAGGGAAACTAAAACACACCAGCGAAATAGCATCTTCTTAATCACAACTCAAAATTCATTGAAAAACTGCGGTTTCCAACCCGTTTGTCAAGTGTGGTAGCAATGGCAAAATCAGACCCCATAATGGCTGTAATAGACGAATCCAAGCAAACTAAAATGTACCTTATAGTTTAACTATATTACGAGTAATAAAACGATAGATAATTATTTTTTTCATTACATACCTATATTTAGAACAATAAGTAACTAACCGCGTTTCACCCATCGTCTACTGTTACACAATTCCTTCACAAAGCCCATTATTTTGAGTACTCTCCACACGTTCTCTCGCAATTACAACGGTCAGTTATTTGTCGCTGTCGACGAGAATTAATTGAAGAATCGTTTGTCTTTTTATTCACACGATAAATAAAAGCTTAAAGATTGCGAAAGTAAAAACATTGACCGTTTATTTGATGTGTTTATTATAATTCTTAAGAACTTCTCTGATCTAACTTTTAAGAACCGAAGTTGAAAACAAGCAGGCCCATAATCAAAAAAGTAAAAAGTTAGAGTGACGAAAATAACAATATAAAACTTTAGACTTTTTACCGTTAAGATGCGGAAGCTCTATTAAATGAGAGGATCTCATTAGTTGATCAATGAGTGAAGTGTATACACCGAGAACTTTGCTTTCATATTTCCTTTTCAGTTAGCAATATTCAATTCATTGGAGCGATTGCTTTTGCCGATGCGTATTAAGTAAGATACCGAGGAAATAAATAATAACGGTATTAGATAATACGACAACAATATTGTATTTTCTTCTGAAGTCCAAAGCTTCAGGCCAATATTTTCTATAACAAAATTTGCAAATAAATTAAGGCTGTTTTATAATATTATTGTAAACATGTCTGTATACGTATTTTTTATCACTGTTTGCCTATAACATTTTTAACTTATTCAAAATCGAAAAAAATCATAAATAGCCAATTTTAAGATTTTTTTTTCGGTTAAAGATTGCTTCCCAACTTATTTCATTATCTTTATCATTCAGAATAATCGGGTAGGACCCGAAGTAAACGGTCGATCTGTTATGTCGTCCTCAAAAAATTAAATAAAAACAGTGTAAAAAGTGCGCTAAATATCTCAAAATGTCATTTTTTACGTGCATAAATATGGTGAGACTCTTTAGTGGTGTGGCAGTGGCTAAAAACTTTGTTTCAATACTAGATTTTGATCATCAACAGAACGAAAAGTGAATTTTTTCTTTTGCAAATGAAAGTGAATGTTAATAACTTCTTGCAAAACAAAACAAATAACGAGTGTCTCTAGTATCTCAAATGAATTTAGTCCGGAATATAACACTTAAATTCACCATTCACTTAACAAGCCAGCCAGCCTAGTGGGAAGTGCGACGCGTTACAACCAAAAAGACGTGGGATCAAATCCACTATATATTCGACTTCTTTTTGTATGTTTCTTTAAGACAGCCTTTAACAATTTACAAAGAATAAACCTAAGGAAACAGAATAATATAATAATAATAATAATAATAATAATAAATAGGCGTAGGGAAGTGACGACCCCATCGCCCGCTGACGTAACAGTTATGTGACAAAACTACTACGTCGGCGCAGTCAGTCAGCGCCCTGCCAAGAGGTGTGAGCGCCGTGCCTAGGCAAAATTGTGGGTGCAAAGGTCCGTTTGTGCATAAGACCGAACCACGAAACGGTGCCGGGCTTGGGCGTCTCCCGTTATTTGGCGCCCATAAATGGATGATGGTACAAAGAGGAACGCGCATAGGGCCGCTGCCTGGGGGTCGCCGGGGCGCGTCTGGAGCTGGCGCTGGACGCGGCAGCATGCGGGCCGCCAGCCGAGCGCGAGGAGCTGTACGATCACCTAGCAGCCCTCCGCATCCATCATCCCCACCAGAAGGCTTGGTGTCGGCTGGGTCTTCTCGGACTCAGCAAGCGGCACCCGCCGCTGGTGGAGCACGTCGCATGCGTTGGTCACAAACAATAAACGCAAACGCACTGCGGGCGTACTTTAGGGCAAAAAGGGGAAGAAACCGGATGTTTGGCATATCGGGCTCGGATGCATCGCTTTTTTTGCAGAGCTGGAGCCATCTCTATCCGTCACTGAGCAAAACCTGGCAGACCGAGTTCGGTACATCCTGCGCTCCAACATATTTGGTGACGCCGAACTCGAACGACTACGACGTGAGGCTGTTCCCTCATCGGATGGAAATGCTACGGCTGGGAATGCGGCGCCACTAATTGCGCAGCAAACTGCAAATGTGGACGCTGCCGTCAATATTCCATTTGTAGTTGATTCAGACGATGATGGAATAGTCCCCCACGAACTAGAGAAAATGAGGAGCATATTGGAAGAGTCGATGCTGGAAACGCGCAGCATGCCTCTCGAAAATCGACCGCGACTTCCCCGCATACCCCTTAGCAAGCGAAATCGGGCTGTCGTGCGGGCTCTTAACCCAATGCTGGTGACCTATTTGGAAGCCAGCGGGACCTTTGCGAGACGGACTCTATTCTTTTTGGCGCCGCACTGGCAGTATGCCGTATTATTGGCGCCAAACTTCCCATGGCTGGACGTGCTACTCAACAAGGTAGTGCCATCCCAGCCTGGAGAAAAAGAATCGAGGACCGTATCGCAAAGGCAAGGGCCCTTATCGGCAGACTGACAAGCTTCAGGTCGGGTAATATTAGACCGAGAGTTGTGCGCACCGTTAGAATGGCGTTTGCTGGGACAAATATTAGTTTGTCCCAGCCGGATATCACGCAGAAACTAACGGAGCGCATAGATGACCTGAAGCAAAAAATCGCTGCTTGGGGGAAGCGGATTCGACGATTTAGCGAGAGGTCAAGGCGGTTCAACCAAAATCGTCTCTTCCAGAGTGATCAGAAGAGGCTCTATAAATCATTGGAGCGACCAGAGGTATGTGGAGCGGGCCCAGGACCGGATCAGGCTGACACTGTCGCATTTTGGCGTGGCCTGTGGTCAGAGCCCGTAAACCACAGCGAGGGCCCTTGGATGGAAGTTGTGGCGAGCCGGAGTGCAAGTGTTACGCCTATGGACCCCGTCACCATAACGCCTGAAGACGTGGCTGAGGCGGTCCGTAGGGCCCCGAACTGGAAAAGTCCGGGGCTCGACGGACTGCATCATTACTGGCTGAAGGGGTTCGTAGTGTGTCACGCTGTGCTCGCCCGACAGTATCAAGAGGCTCTCGATCAGAAGTCGCTCCCGAGCCTCTTCACTACTGGGATCACTCACTTGGTTCCTAAAGATCAGGATACCACAGACCCGAGCAAATACCGCCCCATCACGTGTCTACCCACTATATATAAGACACTGACATCCATTTTGAGCGCGAGAATCACTCGTCACCTGGAGCTAAATAAGGTGATGTCACGCGCTCAAAATGGATGTCGGGGCGGTGGTCGTGGAACCAAGGAACCACTCCTCATTGACGCGGTCATTGGCAAAGTGGTAAAACGCAACCGTCGGAACTTCTCCGCCGCCTGGATAGACTACAGAAAAGCATTCGACTCGGTGCCCCATGCATGGCTAAAGAGGGTCCTCGAGCTGTACAAGATTGACTGTACAGTTAGAGACTTCCTCGAGCAGTGTATGGGGCAGTGGAGTACGATCCTCTGTTATCAGGGCGAGCGGATGATGGCTGCGGAGAACCACATAAGGATAAGAAGGGGTATCTTCCAGGGCGATTGTCTGAGTCCAATCTGGTTCTGCCTCTCTCTGAACCCTCTCAGTACCTTACTGGAGGGCTCCGGGAGAGGATTTCAGCTACGGAAAGGAGGAACAAAAGTGACCCACCTTTTCTATATGGATGACCTCAAGTTATTCGCCTCCAGTCGCTCCCATCTTATGGAATTGCTAAACATCACTTGTGAATTTAGCAATTCCATTGGAATGGAGCTGGGGACGGATAAGTGTGCGGTCCTTCATGTTGAAAGGGGAAGGGTTGCTAACTCTGAGGGCATAGATTTATCTATGCCCGTCAACTTAAAGACCCTTTCCGAGGCTGAAACATACCGATACCTGGGTATGTCACAGAACATCGGTATCGATGAGGCTGGTGTGAAACAGTCAGTTTGCGACGTGTTTTATGCACGCTTGACCAAAGTGCTTAACAGCCTTTTGTCCGGTGTGAATAAGACACACGCATATAACGGTTGGGTCATGCCTGTCCTCATATATACCTTTGGCATACTCAGGTGGACTCAGACCGAACTTAACGCCCTGGATAGAAAAGTCCGCACTACCATGACGTCCCATAGGATGCATCATCCGAGATCGTCGGTAATGAGGCTGTACTTGCCGCGAAAGCATGGTGGGCGTGGTTTTATGAGCGCGCTCACCATGCATAATCGCGAAGTGTGCAGCCTCCGTGATTACTTCCTGACGAGATCGGATGATCCATTCTATAATGACGTCATTTCTAGTGATAAAGGGCTTACCCCTCTATCCTTAGCCCACGAGCAATGGCAGGACCCAGCAGTGCTTAGCATTTCCGACCGGGAGACCGTATGGAAGGAGAAGGAGCTCCACGGGAGGTACTACAGGGCTCTTCATGAGCCCTTCGTAGATACAGTCGCCTCCCTCAACTGGCTACGTTTCGGTGACCTCTTCGGGGAAACCGAGGGTTTTGTCTGTGCAATACAGGATCAGGTTATTAAGACCAACAACTATCGGAGATACATCCTAAAGGATGGCACCGTCGACGTCTGTCGAGCTTGTCGCCATCCCGGTGAATCACTTAGGCATGTTATCTCCGGTTGTTCGGCGCTTTCTAACTCTGAGTACTTGCACAGGCACAACCTAGTAGCCAGAATTCTACACCAGGAGCTCGCTCTGAAATATGGTCTCGTGGACCGGAAATTGCCGTATTACAAGTACTTGCCGGAAGCCGTGCTCGAAAATGACCGCGCCAGGCTCTACTGGGACCGGGCCATCATCACAGACAGGACTATTCTTGCGAATAAGCCTGATATTGTGCTGATGGACCGGGCACAGTCAAGGATATTTTTGGTCGACATTACCATTCCGTATGACGAGAACCTCGTGAAAGCCGAAACAGACAAGCAAACAAAATATCTGGACCTGGCTCACGAGGTGACCGACATGTGGGGTGGTCTGCCGACCGAAATTATTCCTGTAGTCGTCTCTGCAAACGGGCTAATCCCAGTCAGCCTCTCGGGTCATCTGAGGCGACTGGGACTACGTGGCGGACCGCTCCGGGCTCAAATTCAGAAGGCGGTGCTCCTCGATACCGCCCGCATCGTCCGCCGGTTTCTTTCCCTTTCCCCCTAACCCTCGGCCGTTTGGTCTCCCCTGCCGAGGGCCTCCATCTGGTTGGGCTTTTATTTATTTAAGTATTTTTATATTTATTTTATGTTATTGATATTTATGTATATTTATCTTTTCATTCTCATTTATAATTATATATTTATAGAACCCAACCAGATGAGAAAACTATATAGATACCCCATAATAATAATAATGTTTTATTTGCTGTAACAGTTTAAGGAGCCTTCCAGACGTATATATACACAAAAGCTCAAGGATGATTGAATTAGAAATGCAAATTGAACAACTGAAACATACTCAAATTGCTAATACAGAAGTAGATAACTAGATACTGCAGAACAGTGACTTGCAAAGGGAACTAGAAAACTACCAGATGGTGATTAAATCACTAAGAGTCATACAAACTTTAAGACCCGAAAAAATACGCAGTATGTCACCCAAGCCAGCTAGCAGTTTAAAAAAAAACACAACTTTTTAATAAAATTAAAAAAAACGCAGTAACTCAAACCGATGATAATCCGATCTCACAAAATATTAAAATAAAAAGAAATAAAAGAATCAAATTGCTAACAAAACCTAAAATTAAATATGCAACTAAAAACTTCTAAAAATTTGAAATACAAAAGAAGAGGGTTCGAAAATTACAGAAAGAACTGAAAAACTTAAAGATAGAGAAGAATAGAATACAACATAAATTATTAGAATTGGAAACACTTACTAAACTAAAAACATCAACGAATGTCCAGAAAAAAACAAGAAATAATACATAAGCAGGAAAACTACTCTTCAAAGCTGCAAGAAAAAGGAAATAAAATAGAAACATCAGAAAGAGACACAAACACAATTGTATCAACTTTCAACCAGAGAGAAATCATAAACAAATATTGAAACACTTTGATTTATGTACAAAAAAAAAATTGGAAAAAAACGACTTAGCGGTACTACTAATAGGAAACTACGACATTAAAATGAGGACATCATATGTGGATGAAATTCGAAGAATTGTGAGCAAAGAAAATTGAAAATTCAACATTTTGTTAGGAAGTATAATATACGACAACATAAATGATGATAAAATCTTTACTATTAATAAAGAACTCTTTAATCTAGCTGCGGTATCTGAGAATGTCAGATATCTTGAAATAAATGTAAAAGTCAAGGCAAAAGTTAAAAATATAGTGATCGAGGAAACTGTTAAAAGTATCAAAGATAGTGACTTTAATGCATCGTGTTGTTTGCACTTTATAAAATTAAATTCTAATTTAAATTGTTCACTAAATTTTTTAGACCGAACCAAGACTCTATTAACTGGTTAACGATCGTGCAGGCTAATATTCAGAGTATTAATGATAAATATTTAGAGCTATAATTATTAACAGAAAGTACAAATTGTGATGTGCTTTGTCTAACAGAGACTTGGACCAATGAATTAAAATTAGGCGTAATGACTATCGAAGGCTTTATACTTGTATCATATTACAATAGAATGTTATTTGAACATGGAGGTACAGCTATTTTTGTTAGACACTCACTTGAAGTGTAAGTAAGACATGACATTGTAAAGTTGAGTATTAAAATGAATTGTGAACTAGCGGCAATTGAATTAAAATCGTCTAAATTAGTTATTATTTGTGTATTTAGACCTGATTATGATTATTTAATATTCGAAGATATTATAACTAAATTTATCGAAAAAATAGGTAGGAAAAACAAAATAATTGTAATTGTAGGAGATTTTAATTGAAGTCTATTGAAACCAAATAATAAAGTATACAAATTTTTAAAACTATTTAGTGAATTAAAATGTAAATTTATCTTAAATGAGCCAACCCGAACCAAAGGCAAGTCTTCCACCATGTATTGATAATTTCATATTAAATGACGATGATGATTTGATGATTTGATGATTCAGTATCACAGGGGTAAAGTATTAGACGTAAAGATATCAGATTATAACGTCATAGAATTAAAGTATAAATTGAATTCTAAGTATCCTAAACTAAAGGAGAAGACTGAGGTTAGATCTAGAATAATATTTCAGGAAAATATAAAATATTTTCATTACTTTTTCTGTAAAGACTTTGAATGTGTAAGAAAGGATATAGTGAGAAAATGAGAAAATGAATATTCTGATAGACTATTTACAATATTGTTATTACATTGAATTTCCATTAAAAACATTCAAACCTAGAAAAAACAAGAATTAATTAACAACCAAAGGTATTTTGATATCTAGAAATAATTTGAGATATTACATAACTTGTATCCAGATAAAATTAGAAAATCCAATCTAAATAAATATAGGAGAATATATAGAAAAGTGCTACAAACAGCCCAAAAACTTAGAAACGCATC